TTGTAACCCCAATACCGAGGTTTCTGTGGTTAAAATATGGTCAGAAACTAGCACAGGTGCCATAGCAGAAAAAAGAATACAAATTGGAGAACTTGAAAGTGCTTGTAAAGAAACCAACCAGTTCCTACACTCAGCATCTGGACACAGATGCCCTAGCCAGTGGAAACTCTTTGCAAGTGTGTCAGCTGTTCTTCACCTCGAGGATCGGGATAATCCATTTTCAGATAGGCTGACACCTCTGTGCAGTTGCTTCTCTTTTTGTTATATAAATAATTCCAAGTTTTAATTTAATAACTACTTCCAGAGTTTCACTTATGGCCTAACTGAATGTCTTGGCAACTTGTGGACTTCAATTCTCATGCATGGCTGGGGAATTCTGGGAATTGAAGTCCACAGGTCCTCATGTTGCCAAGTTTGAGAAACACTAGCCTAAGAAAAAATTTTGACAGTTGATGGCCATGTTTCAACCACACTGTCTACCTTTTCAGCATATAAATTTCTGGGTAGGACCCTGCTCATTCTATCAATTATTAGAACTTTTTCTTTCTTTCTTTGCCCCATCCCCTTTCTATTTCCCCTGTCCTGAAAAAACTAGAACACACACTTAAATCTAATTAAGCAAATATAAAAAAATTTGTAAGCTCAGAGTAAGAGCTTGGTCTAGCCAACATTTAAATCTATAAATCTGAAAGTTTGGTGGTTTCCAATATCTGATAAAGAAAAATAAGGGGTACTATCTTTTTTGTACTAGGAATCTCTGTCTCCCACACTCTCCATTCATAATACTGCACTATTTTGCAGTTGCCTATCCCTTTAGAAGTCAAGAAGCCATGCATATTTTCAATTTAATTCAATTCAATTCAAAATAGAGCTGGAAGGGACCTGGGAGGTCTTCTAGTCTAACCCCCTGCTCAACCGGGAGACCCTACACCATTCCAGGCAAGTTGCTGTCCAATCTCTTCTTAAAAGCCTCCAGTATTGGAGCACCCACAACTTCTGGAGGCAAGACGTTCCACTGGTTAATTGTCCTCACTGTCAGGAAGTTTCTCCTTAATTCCAAATTGCTTCTCTCTTTGATGAGTTTCCATCCGTTGTTTCTTGTCCTGCCCTCTGGTGCTTTGGAGAATAAGTTGTCCCTCTCTTTTTTGTGGCAGCCCCTCAAATACTGGAATATTGCTATCATGTCACCCCTCATCCTTCTGTTCTCTAGATTAGCCAAACCCAATTCCTGCAATCGTTCTTCATATGTTTTTGTCTTCAGGCCCTTAATCATCTTAGCTGCTCTTCTCTGCACTTTTCCCAAACTCTCAGCATCTTTTTTGTAATGTGGTGACCCAAAGCGGATGCAGTATTCCAGGTGTGACCCTACTTACTTTTGCAGAGTCTGAGCTCTACTTGAGCATACAAGAGGTGAGAAAGCTGAGATTTTGAAAAGTAAACACAACATAACACCCACAAATATTTTGCAGATCTCTCTCTCTCTCTCTTTCTCTCTCTCTGTCTCTCTCTCTCTCTCTCTCTCTCTCTCTCTCTCTCTCTCTCTCTCTCTCTCTCTCTCTCTCTCTCTCTCTCTTTCTTTCTTTCTTTTAAACATGCAGAATTGAGAACAACTTACCCATATCAACCCCCTGGGAAATAAATGGGTCTCATTAAAGCAAAGAGAGGGAGGAACTGGCAGAGGAAAGCATGACAGTGTGACTGTTTTAAGGTGGGGACACCCCAGGCGGAACTCAGCTTGACAGCACAAACTGCCTAGATTGGCAACTTGGTTTTCTCGTAGCTCCAGGATGGTGGTTGCTCTCATCCCATGTCCTCAGATGGGTTGGAGGGTTGCTTTCAGACGTGCTGGTGATGGGAGATACAAGTGATGGGAGATACAAGTGGTTCTTGACCTACAGTTCAACCATTCACTTAATGGCCATTCAGAGTTACAATTGCACTGAAAACAAGGGCCTTAGCACCGTTTTTCAGACTTACGACCGTCGCAGCATCCTCGGGGTCATGTGATTAAAATTCAAACACTTGGCAACTGGGTCCTATTTATGACGGTCACAGTCATGGGATCCCCTTTTGTGACCTTCTGACAAGCAAAGTCAATGGGGAAGCCAAATTCACCTAATAACCGGGTGGCTAACTCAACAACGGCACTGATTTACTTAACAACAATGGCAATAGAGGTCATAAAATGGGGGCAAAACTGATTTAACAACTGTCTCTCTTAGCAACAGAAATTTTGGGCCCATTTGTGGTTGTGAGTCAAGGAGTCCTTGTACAGGCAAACTTTTATAGAAGGAGGCCAATCAAGAAGGTATCTCTGTAGGCTTTCTTGTGGATAGGAATATTGTGGACGTTGATGGGCCTCTATTTTGGAGTAGAAGAGCTTAGGAATTCACTATAGCACTCTTATAGTTGGTTTATCAAGGATGTTTCTTGCAAAATTATTAGCAAATCTTTTTTGGGGGGGGACCAACACGATTATCACCTGAATTGTTTAGTTCTGAAAGTGATTAATATGATCAGCCTGAGGATCAGGGCTGTGTGTCATATTCTGAAGAAGAAGAAAAAGGAAGGATGGTCTTATTTTTTTTTTTTTTTTGAAAAAAAAGTTATGCACTCTTTGAAATGAAGGCCTTAAAATACTTTCTGACAGTTTGTGGGAATATTATGAAAGAAAGTATCTTAGTCAGAGAATGTAACAAAGAGCGACACAAACACACTCTCTTTTTCTCTGATACTCATGGGTAAGTTATTTGTATCATGGAATCACAATTTCAGAATCTCCGTCCTGGAAAATGACGCTTTTTGATAGACCCGTTTCTGCATTATAATTGATCGAATAAAAAGTGCCATTCTTGTATAATGCAGAATTCTGAACATCACAAGTCATATTTCTCCTACTCCTCTTTTTCAGTTGAATACTTAAAAAAAAAACCACATCAATAAAAACAGCAAAGAACATGATAAAAGAATAAAAGCACATTTATTTATTTAAAAAAAAAAAGATTAAAGTTATACGCTGCCCATCCCACAATCCAAAGCAATTCTGGGCATTTGCTGTATCCTTGTAGCGATAACTGTACACTGTGTGTAAAGCTAATTCAGTAGATCTTGAAGGGATATTTTAGATATTGAGTTGGTGAAGTATAATACAGATATTGTAGGATGAAGTGGGAATTCATCTTCTAAATTTGCTTCATTCTAGTGTGAATCATTTTCCAGAATTCCAAAATTGAGTAATGTGTTATTTAAGCCCTCTTGTTCGTTCGTTTTTTTTTGGGGGGGGGGGCTTCTTTGATAGTGTAGTTGTTTAACTGCGCAGATTGTCTAGTTATACTATGCCATGCCATGCCGTGCCGTGCCATACCATACTATACTATGATATGATGATTCAACTGTTAAATATGCTGAGCTTCTCAGCTGGAGAGCTGACAATTCAGATTTGAGACCTGACCAATGCACTATGGGGTGAGCTCCCGTTCCCTGCTCCAGCTCCTGCCCATTTAGCAGTTCAAAAGCAGGCAAATGAGAGTAGATAAATAGGTGCCACTTCCCTGGGAAGGCAATAGCATTCAGTGCGCCTTTGGCGCCAGCCACATGCTGGCCACATGACCACAGAAATGTCTTTGGACGACGCTGACTCTCTTGGCTAAGAAATGAAGATGAACACCGTGCCTTAGAAACAGACACCACTGGACAGGGAAACTTTTACATTTACATTTACTATACTATAAAGAGATAATTATCTCTTTATGTTAATTATTTACTGAGCCATAGATTATTACTATTTTATAAGTTATGCCTCTTAGGATATTAGGAGTGGTGTTTCCCATCACCTACTCTAGGAATAATAACAACAACAACAATAATAATAATGATGATGATGATGATGATGATGATGGAAGGGATCTTGGAGGTCATCTAGTCCAATCCCCTGCTCAGGCAGGAAACCCTATACCATTTTGGACAAATGGCTGTCCAGTCTCTTCTTAAAAACTTCCAGTGTTGGAGCATTCACCGCTTTTGGAGGCAGGTTGTTCCACTGGTTAATTGTTCTAACTGTCAGGAAATTTCTCCTTAGTTCAAGGTTGCTTCTCTCCCTGATTAGTTTTCCTCTGTTGCTTCTTGTCCTGCCTTCAGATGCTTTGGGGGAATAGCTTGACTCCCTCTTCTTTGTGGCACCCCCTGAGACACTGGAACACTGCTATCATGTCCCCCCTCATCCTTCTCTTCATTAAACTAGACATACCCAATTCTAGAAGCTGCTTGAGAATTCAAGTGTTACTCTATGATGATGGACTTTTGAGACTGATGACTATTCTGGATTGAAACCAGAATCAAGAACACCCTTCTCTAATCTGGAACTGCCAAAATATTTTGGACTATGATTGGTTCCAGCTAGACAGGCTTCTTCAATCACCAGAACTTTCCACCTTGAAAGCAGATGCCGTTATATTGACTCACTATGAACCTGAAGGACAATTAGTAGGTGAACGTCTCTGATCATCATGAGAGCAGAAGGAAGAGAGCACTCTCCCTGGACGAGATGGCAAAGAAGCCATGACTTTGCTTGGAGCTGGCAGAGTGTGGGATGAGCTGAACTGAGATCAGGTCTCACCCACACACACACACCCTGGTGGGTAGCCACATGACAAGCAAAGCTCAGATGCAATGACAACAACAGGAACAATCTGTGGGAGAGGAACTTGGAATATGACCAACTTCCCTAAAAGAAATAAAAAGGGGCCTAGGCCACAAAACATATGCCTGCCCCCCCAATTTTTAGAGTTCCTGCCCCAGATCTTTGACGGTTGGAAGAGAGAAGAGGAAAGAAGACACAAGGGAGGAGAAAGGAGAGGAGCAAGAGAAAACCCAATGCTATTTGTGTGTTTGTGTATGCATTATTCTGAGATTGTGCAATTAGCGTACCACCCTTAGGTCTGTGCCTTCCCTCCCTGGAAAGGAAATGTAATGAAACCACACACACACACACACAGAGTATATGAGATTCAGAATATACTTTACAAGAAAGCCATTAAAGCAGTTGGATGAACTGGGCCAGCTCAGCTCTCCTTAAGCCTTCTCTCTCTCCTCTCTCCTCCACAGAAGTTTCCATTTTGGCTTTTCCTGGGCATCCCACCACACGTCACTTTGAATGTGACCTTTTCCATATAATTTGGGCTGGGGTGAATAGAGGCGCTCTGGTTTTATTTGGATCCAAGATGTCTTCTACCTGGCTCGTAGAATCGCCAAGAGTCGGACACAACTGAATGGATAACCTAGTCATCAAGAGGTCCTCCATGCTAAGAAGAAGATCTAGTCTTGGCTTTGAAAATGGTTTGGAAAGTCAAGTCAATACATGATGGCTGGTTGGAAACTGTGGAAGCAATTAATTATACAGAATTTGATTGTGAGTCCATTTCTGTCCACAATTCAAAGTCCTAGTATCAACTTTTAAAACTCTTCTTTTATACTTTCTCTCTAGAACAGCATTTCTCTCTTTATTAAAAGAGTATCTTAAATTTCTACATCATACCTTAAAATACCAACTAACATAAAAAAAGGGAACGGGAATAACAAAGCAATTGAAAGTGACAAAATTACATATAACACCCTAAAGATGGCCAAACGCCAATCTGTGCTTAGTTTCAATAACAAAGACTGGATTTTGACTCCAATGACCTGGATTCTAACCAGGATCTAAGAATCTTGGAGATATCACTACAAAATGAGTAGTGGAGTAAGCGGTATATAAGTCTCATAAATAAATAAATAAATAAAATGTATCCTGTTCCAAATGGGGTGGTCTTTTGCAAGATTAGTGGTATCAAGTCCAGTAAGTTAAAAATTTCTAAATATTTGGTGAGTCCTTTTGGTATTGCACCAAGAGCTTCAGTACAACCAGTATGACAGTCAACGTTTTCCTTGAAAATCCTCAACCTCAGTTCGTAAATCATGACATTTCGTTACAGTCTCCAGTTGTGTTTCATGAAGTCAACTGTCTCCAGGTATTGCCACATCAACCAACCACACTAATGCCTGGTGCACTTTATTCAAAGGGCCTATCAGGATAAAGTTTGAAATCCCACAACATTCTGATCTGTTTTTGCACAACTTTTTCAGGCACATGGTTCCAAATAGGAAAGCTGAATTTCTTACCTAAGTTCCAAGGAACACATTTTGCAATCTTATCATGGGGTCCACATTCTGAATAATTTCACCACAGCTGCCAATGAAAGGACTTTCAGGGTCTTATTACGGCTTCTCAAGGTCAGCCAGTTCTTGAGTAGAGCAACTTTTGGAGAACAAGTTGTTTGGACAATGAAATCCAAAGATGGTTTTGTGTGGGGGAGAGAAAACAACAACAACCTTGGATTAGTTCATGGCTGGAACAAGCTCAGCTCCCAAAGTGTCATAATAGCAGTAGTAACGTCTTGTTACTCAGTCAAAAACAATTAATTGGTAAATATAACAAATGGGGGCATGTTACCTTTGCAAACATGGGTTAGACAACATTTATTTTAACATGTATAGTTTCTTTGCCTATGCAGTTACACCAAAGCAAACAAAAGCCTTTAGTGGAAGCTAGTGTGAGTCATCCTTTCCAGTGTTTTCAAACATTGGCAAACGAAGAACCTGGATGAGGAGCACCATCGGATGCTGAACGCAGCACATTTTGTGTCGCCTGGGAAGAAAACGTTTGTGGTTATGAAGAGTCTTCTGGGCAGATTCCATTGGTCTTCTTTGATGGGCCTCAACCAGCCGAAGGAAAAATGGGATGTTGAAGAGCTGGTAGCTTCTTTTCAAAGTTCTGCCTTGCTTTAGTTGTGTTGGCCACTGAACTGGTTGTCTAAAGTTGGATTGGATTTGGACCATCACAAGATCAGTTGAGATTCTGATCTGATTCTCAAAATGAATTTTAGCTATTCTTTCAAGCGCTTGAATTTTGGGCTGCAGGTTGCTAGTTTTAAAATGTGTGTTTGTGTGTGTGTTGTAGAGAAAGAGTGACAGAAAGAAAAAAAATGTACAAAAATACACATGATCCCCCCAGAAATGTACAAAAGGAGTAAATTAGGAAAGTTTCCTATTTTTCTTGGATCATATACTTCTGCAAAAATAGTTGCAGGAATTGAGTATGTTTACTCTATTTTAAAAAATGACTAGGGGGGACATGATAGCAGTGTTCCAATATCTCAGGGGTTGCCACAAAGAAGAGGGGGGTCAACCTTTTCTCCAAAGCACTTGAAGGCAGGACAAGGAGCAAGGGATGGAAACTAATCAAGGAAAGAAGTAGCCTAGAACTAAGGAGAAATTTCCTGACAGTGAGAACAATCAACCAGTGGAACAACTTTCTTTCAGAAGTTGTGAGTGCTCCAACACAGGGGAGATTAAAGAAGAGATTGGACAACCATTTGTCTGAAATGGTATAGGGTCTCCTGCCTGAGCAGGGGGTTGGACTAGAAGGCCTCCAAAGTCCCTTCCAACTCTGTTATATTGTTATTAAGAACGATGGTTTCTGGAGAATTAGAAAAAAAAACCCCTTATTGTCTTGGTTTCTATGTCCTCAACTATTCTAAGACACCCTTTCCACTTTGAAGATAAGTTATTTGGAGAACAACAATCTTCCTTTCCAATAAATACACAAAATAATGCAGGCAAGAGAGCAGATGTATCACCTGGGTAACAAATTGGGCATCTTTTTTTAGTATTTTGAGATGCTAAGGAACAACCCTCCACCCCCGTTGCAAAAGCCAACAACAGCAACAACATCAAATCAAAAAAAGGTCCCCAAGTTTGTTCCTTCTTTCTGAGAAATGTGCTTTGAAATTAGAACATGGCAGGAATTTCTAAAAAAATTAGATCTGATTTTCTGTTCACATACTTATTTAATCTGCAAAGAAAGTTTAGCAAATGACTCATAGTTTTAAGTAGTGCAGTGTCACATAAAATTCAGGAAGGAGAATGTTTGGAATCCTACAAATTGATTTAAAGAGAGGGGGAGGAGGAGGGGGAGGAGGAGAGGAAGAGGAGGAGAGGAGGAGGAAGAGGAGAGAAAGAAGAAGAATTAGAGAGTAGAAATCTTTGCTAGCTGTCGCTCTCGAGAGCAAAGTTGATTTTGACATTACATCAACTGTTTTGTTTCTCAATATTTACATGAAATTAAATTCCATTGATCTCAGTTATATCCTATCCCACCATAATGATGTGTTTAGGATTGGGGCACAAGCAGATTGGCAATTGAAAAGAAAAACACAGCTTTTTCCTGTAAATCAGTCTATTGTACTGACCGTGCGGTTTTAAATCTTCTGGGTTTTTTTGTTTTTTTTGTTTAGCTTCCTTAAATATTCAGTTAAATTCTTTAGTTCACACAAATGAACTCCCCTCTTCCCCCAGCATTGGGCTGGGGAAATCCAACAATTCAGCTGCCTAAGAATGTAACAAAAACATTTAACTGAGAAAAAAAAGTGGAAAATATTGGTTTTGTTTGGGTTTTTTTTGGGTTATTCAGGGAAAGAGATATTAGTTAAGTGTGTTATGATGTTACATTAGGTAATGTTATGTCATGTTATGGTGTATTATTTATGTTATGGTATAGGTCTTTATAAGTATTTCTCTCTCTCTCTCTCTCTCTCTTTCTTGCTAGTACATCAGGGTCTTCCATTTGATAATGTTGAGAATATTTTTTTTTAAAACACATGCACTATTTTTAATATATATTTTGCTGTATGTTCGTCCAAACGCATGGATTTTTTTTTTGCAAAAGTCATCATTAGTAAACCAAACCGCACATAGTATTACATGATGCAATGCATTTCAGTATTAAACTGCAAACTTTAAGCACTAAGTAATGAAATGACAACTTCAGTAACAATTTGAAAGTGCAGTTAGTGAAAAATCTACCCTCAATTGTGAAGTAAGGAAATTTCTAACTGGTCTCTAGAAACATTTCGAGCAAGTGTCGATGTAGCAGGCTGTTCACTAGATGGCGCTATCGTCTTGGCGTGCAAATATGTGTGTAAATCCACAACTTTGTATATGCAACATGCATTGCAATCCAACCCACCGAGTTTGTATTTGCTTAGTATTTGTGCTGTGTCCTTTTCTAATGTATTTCCAAATTGCATAAGTAATAGTTCCATTCTGTTCTGCCTTGGTCAACCTCCTGTTGCATGCTTTGATTAGTTCTCCGGGCTTTTGAATTCACTGATAATTTTAATGAGTGATAATGTATCAGATGAGACTGCTCCAAGCAGGAATAAGGACAGAGCTAATCTTATAGATACACACCACTTCTAGAAATGTTAACTCAAAAGTAGAGGCCGTGTGGTGTAATGGTTCAGGAATTGGACCACATGATGATGATGATGTCACCAATTAAGGCATATCCAACTTTTGGTGATTCTATAGGCCAGGTGTCTCCAGATCTTCCAATCTTGTGCTACTTCATTGAGTTGTTCTATGCTCTGGCCGATGTCAGCTTTGATGGTGTCTGGCCACCGTGTTCTTTGATGGCCTGGCTTCCTTTTACCACTAACTCTTCCTAACACAATTGCTTTCTCCAGTGAATCCCCCTGCGTGATGTGGCCAAAGTAAGTGAGACACAATTTTGTAACTTTTGGACCATGTGAGCCCAACTCAAATCCAACTTCAGTCACAGTCACCTCAGGAGAGACTTTGACCAATCATCTCTCTTAGCCCTACACCACAGGATTGTTGTTATAAGGAGGATTAAATGCTATGGAACTCTTCTGGAGAAAAATGGGAGAGAAAATAAATGCATCATCTCAGCTCAATGGAACATGTTAGGAATAAAATGTCATGGAGAAAATCTACATGGTCACGAGGAGTCAAAAATGTCTTGATAGCACACCATTCATCCATCCATCCACCCATCCATGGACTATATTAAAGCCTTCTGCCTCAAGATATGTACAATTTTACAACTGTGAACAAAGAACCAACATTATTTTGAAATCCTGCAATTGTAACCTGTAATTCTTAGCTGATGCACAAGCTGCTAGAATTGGTTTGTAAGGCGAATAGTAGACAGACTGAAGAACTTGAGTGGCTGCTCAAAATGAAGCTATTCAGCCAGTCTTGCTCTTGAATGGCCTCTCAGAAGATATAGAGACATTTGCAAGGTATCCTGGAGAACTTTAGACCAGAATTATCTCTATTTACCTTTGTAGCTCTGAAAGACAATACCAGCCAGGTTAATTTCCAAGGATCTGCCTCCCTCTGGTGAACAGAATTGAAACTACTGGCAGGAGATGTTTGCTTTGCTCATGGTGCCTCCAGTGTTTAAAGTAGAGTGGGAGACACACAATATATGGGGTAGGAGAAGAAGGGAGCAAACAAAAGAATTGACTTTATGTTCCATCTCACATTGATTATGTTAGCATCCAAATAACTATCCTGAGAAATCTCCTTCTCCTTCTCCTCCTCTTTCTCCTTCTCTTTCTCCTTGTCATTCTTCTCCTTCTCCTCTTTCTCCTTCTCCTTCTCTTTTTCCCTTCTCCTCCGCCTCCTCCTCTTCCTCCTCCCCCTCCTCCTCCACTCCTCCTCCTCCCCCATTACATGTAGACTTTATTTTGCAGAGTGAACGGATATGATAAGTTTGAGTCCTGTGTGGCTGCAAGAAGGTGCTTTGACATACAGCAGAGCTGACAGATTAGCGGAGGCACTTTGATTCCACTGAGATCGGCCCAGCCTCTGATGAAGACAGGGAGGTTTTACGACTGCCCACTTCCTGGGGAATGTGCACCATGGTCTCTGGAAGAAAAGATCATGGCGGACTTTGCAGGCTAGGAGGAAAGGGCAGCCTTGGTTCAAGCTGTTCAGAGAAGAATGCCAGCACGTTCCAAGGACAGGAGCGAGGCTCACAAGGGATGGCCATGAGAAACAGTGCGTTGTGGCACTACAGCTCTTTAAAAGGAAGATCAAAGTTCCTCTCCCTCCATTTCAGAGGAACAAAGCAGGAAGACAGCAAAGGCATGGATTTCAAGAAGGATGGGGAGGATGATAACAAGAAGATAGTTAAGAATGACGTCTGCCTTGAAGAACCTCAACTGCTTCATTTACAACTACTATGGAATGATTGGCTTGTCTTGCTAACACACATGGATAGAATCTGAGTTAGACTCCTAATACTTCTCCTTATGCTTCTCCTTCTCCTTGTTTTCCTTATGCTTTGTTGTAAAGTGTGGTTATGCTATGGGAACTAGTCCCACAATTCTAACAATGAAGATAAATAAGAAGACAATTCATATCGGAGAAGACCTGTTCTCTGGGTCCTGTTTATTGAAAGCTTTGGATTGTGAACAGAACATGGATGGCTCCCCAGGATCCTAAAAAAAAAAAAAAAAAAAATGGAACACCCACATGCCCCCCTTGCACAGTTGGAGAAAGCAGAATCCCATTATTTGCTACTATGGCACTAATTGTGGTCCTCTAACAGGAAGGATAGAAGCCAGAAAATCCATGGAAGAGATAAGATGAACAGTTCTGCATGAGAGGGGAAAGGTCGTGGAGTTGTAAAAAAGGCCTTTGCTGCAAAAACTGGAGTCCCACCAGAATCTGGGAGTTCACAGCTTCCGGCTTGGTGCTGGCTGTTCCTCAAAAGCACCATGAATACATTTGACCCACACATCCTTTACGAGAGGATCATCTCTTTTCTTCCCACCCCCAAGAATGATTTCTCGTCTCTTTGCAACTCAAAGTGTGCACATGTTGCATCAGGGCCTCAATGTGAAGAGAGAAGGAAATGGAGAGAAGCAAAAGGCTGCCTTGTTTCCCTTCAAAACACACCAAGGTTGACTTGTTAGAGGAAAACTACTCTGGGCCCTTTGATGCCTTGAGTTTGGGTCGAATCCAAGGATCTGCTTTCCTTCAGTCTCCTGGAGATTCTGCAGGGTGCTTTCACAAACAGGCCCCAGAGAAGCCACGGAGGGGAGAGTCTTTCCTTTTCCAGACAGGCTTAGCCTAACAAGGAATGCTCAGATGTAGGACTTTGCAAACATGGCAAGGCCAAAGAAGAATGCTCAGTCCAGTGATAGGATCCTGATTTTGATTAGGATGAGATTTGGGCCCAAGGAGATCTGTTTCCAAGGATTATTTCCAGCCTCCATTCAACAGTAGGTTTTGATCTAGAACAGGGTGCTGTTTACCGTTCCAGAGCCAGAGTCTCTCACCAATGGCCAAGCTTTTGAAGATGTAGATGAAGATCAGAGATTTGATCTACGAAATGGTTGGAGAGTGGAATGTCAGGAGACCTGTCTGGTCTAGTATGAGCTTCCAGCTCAGTAAAACATTATTGTGATGTTATTCTCCAAAGCACCAGAGGGAAGGACGAGAAACAATGGTTGGAAACTGATCAAGGAGAGAAGCAACCTAGAATTAAGGAGAAACTTCCTGACAGTGAGGACAATTAACCAGTGGAACACCTTGCCTTCAGAAGTCATGGGCGCTCCATCACTGAAGATTTTTAAGAAGAAGCTAGACAGTCACTTGTCTGAGCAGGGGGTTGGACTAGAAGATCTCCAAGGCCCCTTCCAGCTCTATTCTATTCTAAAACCTTCATTGATGTTCTCTCTTAGTGGTGATCTTGGCTTATAATCAGAAATAAGGATTTATTCACAGTGTTAGGATAGCATCTAGCTCTGATCCAGAGGCTGACCATCACTAATATGGAACTTAGTTTATGTGGCCAAGTTAGACACATAAAGGCTTGAGCATCAAAACCTTCTATAGACTGAGCAATGTATCAACATATCCACTGAAGCTCTGTTCCAAAGCTGAATTCACTTTTAAATTACCCCAGGATCTTTTTTCGTTTAAATCAGGGCTTGTGGAAACCACAGTTGTCAACTCCCACTTCAAGCTAAGCCATCATGGTGAGTTCATCCACCACCTGAAGTCCCAAAACACATAAACCACATTACAGCTCAGTGTTATGACTGAACCACATGTCAACATTTTGCAAAGGAGGGGGGGAAACCCCCCCACAAACCTCCACAAATATAAAGACTCAAAGTTTGTCGTCCCATTGAAGAAACCCATCACGTACCATATTTACAATGCAAATATTACATACCTCTCTGTAGCATATGATATTTCCTCTCTCCCTCTCTTGTATGGACGACTTGTTCCCTATCTCCCCATAAACTACATTTTGGGGGGAACGAGGGTGGAGGGAACAAATTTAACTCAGGAGCTGAAAAAGCCCATTCTTGGTAGGTATTTGCAGCCTGCCCAGGGTTTCCGAAACATTGCCCAGCCACGGACTGGATTTCTTTAAAGAGTTCCTTTCTCTGGGGTAATTGGAGAAGGATAGAATTCTTCAGCTGGCCCAAAGTGCTAGGACAAATCTCCCTTAGAAAGCGGCTTCTGTTCATTTGTTTGGCTGAAATACCCTTCTCTAAGAAGGAACTGGAACGGCTCCAGAACTCAGTTGTGAAAGGCAAAATAGAATTAAGACTTTCTATATTCGGTTAGGCCAACTGCTCAACTCTACCTGTTTATCGGGAAAGGAGTGGGTGTGTTTTGCTTTGGGCTGCTCCCTATCTCTTCGATGTTTTGTGCCGGAGCATCAAGTTCTCCAAAGGCGCTGATTTCCCCCCCCTACTAAAACTGCATTTTAGGCCGTACTTATCTATAGCTTTTCCTGCCAAACCCACCAGTCACTAGTGCGTGTTGAGGTTTGAAATTCTAAACGCCCGAGGTTCTGGGGAACTCAATTTCTATAATGCACCAAGAAAACATTAAGGAGTAATGGCAGTGAAAAGCATAACGAAACGTATTTTCTGGATGGGAAGGAAAATGTATATTCTGAAGCTGAGATTTGGCACAACTGGCCATTAGATCTAAAGAAAGCGGATTACTTATTTGGCTTCTCCAACTTTCCAGATAAGAGCACAGGGGCCGAGATTCCCGCCTTTGAAGTCTACCAATCCCATACTGAAAGCTTTTTCTTCCTTTTCTTGTTCTCTAAATTGTTGGTCTTTGAATCTAAATTTAAAAAGGACAAACGGGTCCAACTGATGGACCAGGATAACAAACTGTCCCTTGTGCGTTGGTTGCAGAACGCAAAAAACTTTGCATTCTATTTGCAGAGACTGAGATAAATCCATGAGAGGAGCTTGGTTGGATTGTATCACAGTTGCGTTTTAAGTTTTCCATCCCACAATAGCCAACAAAATGCCTTCAGAGAGTTCACAAACAGCTATCTCTTGTATCCTGTTTTCAGATAGACTTTTTGGACATGGATGATACATCTTGTTCGATATCCTTTGCACCCATCTCTGTTTCCTTTGATACTCTTTGACTATAGTCAAAGTAGAAGCTATAAGCCTAACTTCATGTTCTGTAACTTGCACCTGCATTCAGAGGCAGCCAAACTCTAAGTTTACTTGTGGGGAGAGCGTTTCAGCCTTTCCAGGTAGACCAGACAGGAAACACGATCAAATAAGCTATTTCTACTTTATATTGCGAAGGTACATTAACCGAATCCTGCAAGACTGAAATCCTAATTTTCCTGCGGTCTCCTTTACATTCCAAGAACCCAGGCAGGGTCTCTTCTTAGTCTCTTTCTCCACCAGTTTTGCAACTGCAGGCTACGCAGTTTCTTATCTGACTGTTTTCTTGTCAGCATCTCTTATCCCAGTTCCTTAAAGTCTTTCCCACATGCCATTACTGGGGGTGGGGCGGGGAATTTGAAGGGATCAACCAGGTTGATTTTGAGTTTATTTTCAATGCTCATCACACCCTCATCTCTGCATCACTAAAGATGTTATCTAGTTGGGTCATGAAATGTCTGCAAGAAAACAATCAAGCTCAGAGACCACCAAGGACCCCACAGTCTTCTTCCTCCTCCTCCTCCTCTTCCTCCTCCCCCTTCTAGTACTGATGAGGTTACCTAGTTGGGCCATGAAAAGTCTGCAAGAAAACAACTAAGCTCAGAGAACACCAAGTACCCCACAGTCCTCCTCCTCCTCTCCACAAACCCCATTTCCTTCTAGGAGTGAAGATGCTCCCTAGTTGGGTCATGAAATGCCTGCAAGAAAGCAACCAAGCTCAGAGAGCACCAAGGACTCCATTCAATGTGTCTCCTTGTGGACCAGTAGAGGAGAGGGGAGATTGGAAGCTATAAAAACAGTGATGTTGTAGATTCTAATCATGGCAAGCCCTGGAACATGGACAAGGTGTCTCCTTATGGAGCCTACTTCCTCAAGCAAACAAATTTCCCAGCTCCCTACCCCAACATTATCTATGCCTCATTTTGGTGTTTCATCCTCAGTGTTTAGACACCCCACCATAATTGGTTCCATAGGAGGAACATGCATATTGGGGCATCTTGTTCATTTTCTGCTCTACTTTGACATATTGAGAAGTTGGAGAAGCCTCTGCACTTGCCAGTCAGAGAGCAAAGGACAGGACTTCACTGTTGAAGTTCAGACGAAAATATTTGGAGGCCAAGCCAAAAGAAACAGTTGAGGGAAGGGCAATTCCCAGAGAGATTCATAAGAGGAGATGTGTTAAAAGTTCGGCTGGGTCTTTATTTACTTACCATTTGGAGGGCACAAATACTTGATGTAAACTGTCATGCCGTTCCGGTGACAGATGATGGTGGAGCCAGTATGTGATGTAAAGGCTGGCCAATTCTTGGAACATCTGGCAAGTTTTCTTTGAATGCTAGCAAGTCTCTTCTCAGGTGAGGAGGAGGAGGAGGAGGAAGGGGGGAGGAGGAGGAGGAGGAGGAGAAGGAGGAGGAGGAGGAGGAGGAAGAAGAGGAGGAGGAGGAGGAGATATAATCAGATTCTGAGGAAGTACAGTATATTCTACTTAGTATTATTTGTCTTTGTTGTCAGGAATAATAACATCTTCCTTTTGTGAACTTGTGAATGAAAACTTTCCTGTTTCAACAGAAGAGAATATGTGTAGTTCAGCGCTGAACTCTGAAGTGCCCTGATGACGTTACCTAGTTGGGTAATGAAACTCAGAAAACACCAAGGACTCAAAGGACTAGTTGTGATTGTTATGATACCTAAAATAGTTTTTGCCGAAGATATTGCTTTAAAAGAAAAAACAAAAAAAATAAACATTTCAGTCTGTGTGTGTCGATCACTCACTTCTGTCCTTAAGTGGTGCCATAAATGTGCTCTTGAGTTGTGCCAATTACCCCTGGAGACTTTGTGTACCTTTTGAAGGAGAACCTGCAAGGAAGTATCTTTCTCAACTTTGTTTTCTATGCTTAGTGGTGACGAGGAGCAGTTATGCCCCTTGAAGCTTGTTTTGCAAGAAAGGAAAAATCAGGTAGGGTAAGTGAAAATCCAATGGATTTCACCTAAAAGAAAAAGCTGTCCTTATTAAATAAACATAATGTGGAAAAAGCCTAAGCTTGCCATGCAAGTTTTAAGAGAGAAGGTTACTTAAGATAGATCAGGAACTGCGTGTATAGAACCTAATCTCCGTCTCTTTTCCAGGAACTATAAAATAATATTTTCAACCCCTGCCTATCTTTTTGACCTAACGTTTTACAATGGCTGAATGCGTTTTTCTACATTTCAAAGCGATCCCGGCTTTCCCCGTGGCTTCCGCAGCTGAGGCTTTATGTAACTCGACCACTTCCCATGACGCCCACGGAAATGGCCAGAGACGTGTCTGCAAAAAGGCCCCGTCGTTGGGTGCCTTCTGAGTGGAAGTCCATCTGGATCACGAAAGGCGAGTCAACAGCTCAGCCCTCATTGTTCTCCTTTCCTTGCTTTCGGCAGCAGCTGCCTTGAAAAAGAGTCCAGAGTGGCAGTGCCAATCAAGAAGAAATCCCAAGAGGGAAATTGAAGAACCGCTGAACGCTCTTATGTATCTTACACCAAATGGCAATTTTCGTCTGTTATCCCTTCCCTGGTCCAGGAGGAAGTTTGCAGGATGTTATGGGTTTCCTGCTTCAGGGACTTGCAGAGATCTCTCCTGTAAATAAGTCTCCCCAAAGCCAGACCCTTGAGCTAATCTTTTTTTTTTTTTTTTTTTTGTAGAGCGTGGTCTTCAAGATGGATGTGTTTTTCAACCCAAATGGGGGACAGAAACACACAACGGTCCTAGAACTTACAAGCAGATTGAAGAATGCAATGGATGGATTTTTGGTGTCCCCAAAATAGCAATGCAATATGCGCAACTGAATTGGGGTATCTGTCAATGGCAGTCTCCATATTTGTTGGCTTTTAAAGAGGTGTGAACCACCTAGGATGTTCTTGTAAAGTTATAGAAGATCTCAACTTGTACAGTATGACAGATACATACATACATGCACACATTGTTGTGAGTGAATTTCAGTGTTTTGTTCTTACCAGTGGCCAGAGGAATTCTAATCACAAACAACATTTGGCCCATGTTTGATTTCTCCTTTGATGGACCGGATAGGATTGGAATGCGATCATTCGAACACTACAAAGGGGTGAGGTTTTCTTCAAAATGGGCTGTCTTCCCAAAAACACACTGCAGGGACATATCACACAAGACTCTTTCACGAAGAGGCTCGTTCTCTTCTGACACTTCTTGTGAACAGTTTAAGGTCAGATTGGGAAAATGTCTAGGTAAAGTGCCTGTAAAACAAAATAATTTTTTGATCATTTACACGGAAAGATCACAGGAGCTTTAGCGATATGCTACGTTGATCATGCCCTCAGCCTGGGATCCTCATGAGATCAGCCGGGTGTTTGCCAAATTTAAAACTTTCATTGGTCCTTTCTCCTTCCCAGGACAACTGTCTGCCTGATGAAAAATGGCTCCCTGAGGCAGTGTGGAAACAAACAAAAAAAAGGGCATGTAATTGAAATAATAAATTATGATCAGTGTCAGGGTTTTGCCAAGAGATGTTGTGGATTAGGCTGCGTAAAGGGCGGTGCTAGCTTAACATGATGACAGATGACTCAGAGGAGACAGCAAGGAATTGTTTTTCTGAAGAGGTCAACCAGGTCCTGGTCCAAGGTTGCGTCTTTAAGGTCTGCTTGTAAGGTCTGTCCTCTTAAGGGCTCCTAAGCCAGCTTTGGGTATATTGCATTGTTTAGAAAGGATTTGTACTGGCTACTTAGACCTTCACTATATGTCTTGAATCGATTCCTTTGAGAAATTACAAATTAGCTTCTCAAACAAGGGCTAAGTTAGTTGTGGTTTCATTAAATCTCATTAGATCTCACTGAGTAAAACAAAATTGACTTTACACCTCGCTCAACTTGCAAAATATGCTTTATTGTCATGCTGCACTGGCTGGGTTCACCCAGTAGGCTAAAAAAGTTCTCATCGTGGTTTCCTGTGATCCCAGTCAATGGGCTAAGCTTGGGTCTGTTTTAATTGTGATTTGTTTCGTAAACCACATTGGAAGTATTCACGTGTCATTCAGGGCATCTGTGCTGGTTTGCAGATCACAATGTTTTGGTGTACACAACCCGACAAACCACACATCGAACCTTTAGCCCATTGCTATATAGAGACTCTGA